CAGCAGCAGCAGCAGCAGCAGCAGGAGTTGTTGTTGTTGTTGTTGTTGTGGTAGTAGTAGTAGGAGGAGTAGTAACGGCAGCAGCAGCAGCAACAGCAGCAGCAGCAGCAGGAGCAGCAGCAGCAGCAGCAGCAGGAGGAAGAGGAAGAGAAACGGATGTTATATTATAGAGCAGAAATAAGAAGAAGAAGAGAACAGAAAGAAGGGGGCAACACGGCGGGATGAGTACAAAGGGATATGCAGCAGCAACTGCAGCAGCAACTGCAGCAGCAACTGCAGCAGCAACTGCAGCAGCATCAGCAGCAATGACGCAATAAAAGAAAAACATATGCAACTGCAGCAGCAGCAGCAGCAGAAACAGGATACGCAGTTGCTGTCTGCAGCACAGCCGCATCCAGTAGCAGCAACACCGCAGCATCAGCAGCAAAGAACAGCAGCAGCAGCAGCAGCAACATGAAATAGTACCAGCAGCAGCAACAACTGCAACATAACATGTCAGCAGCAGCAGCAGCAGAACAGAACAGGACAGCAGCAGCAGCAACACAGCACACAAGAACAAAACAGCAGCACCACCAGCACCAACACCACCACCACCACCACCACCACCACCACCAGCAGCAACAGCAGCAGCAGCAGCAGCAGCAGCAGGTATTCTTACAACAACACGCCCCAGGCAAAAGTTTGTTTCCTCAATAAGCCAATCATCGTTCTTTTTCAGCAGCTGTTCTGAACTAACTTTCTGCCCCTGGTAGCTTGCAAAGAACCTCACGGGGGCCCCCAGGGCACCGAGGCCCCTTTTCACCCCCAAAGTAAACCCCAGGGGGGCCCCCATGGGGGCCCCCAGGGGGGCCCCCACGCATGCTAGCCTGCGGAGCAGCGGCGACATGGCTTGGTAGCTGTAGCTGCTGCTGCTGCTGCTGCTGTGCAGCAAGGAGGAAGCAGCTAAGAAAGCTAAAAAGTAATTGAGTTTCCACGGATAATAAAGTTTAAAATATTATTTTTTTTGTTTTTTTTATGCACCGAGCGGCTCCTATCAATACTAACAAGGGGCTGCATGCTGGGGTGTATGGGGCTGGCGTTCTGAACACGCGTTGCTTACTAGCTAGGTATCCTAGGTGCGTGCGGTGTATATATACTATAAACGCAGTATATTTCAAGTAATTTAATTTAAAAATATTAAATTAAAATAATATTTAAAAGGAAAAACACCAGAAATATAAATATATACCTCAGTCTCTGGCGCAACCCCAGCCAGCACACACACCCAGCCCCAACCCCCTGTAGCTGCTGAGCTTTCTTAGTTTAGTTTTCTTAGCTTTCTATATACAATGATATATGTTTTTTTTCTTTATAAGTATTTTATACTTATAAAAATAATTATATTTTATTCTTTCTCTTATAGATAGCTAGGACTCTGAGTGTTCCGCTGTTCTCTACAGCTGCTGTAGTGGGTGTGCTATACAGTGTATCTGTTCTTTTAGCTCCGCTAGAACAAATGTCAGTAAGTATATATATATATATATATATATATATATATATATATATATATATATATATTATAATAAGTTTCACACTATACTTTTGCCAGGGGACGAGAATCCCTTAGAGTATATTCCCTTTATTCTTCCGCCAGCACAGGCAAGTATA